CCTATGGGTAACACCATGATAAATGGAGAAAAGTTTGAGGTCAACAAGGGTTTTGTCTTGCATGGATCCACAATCACGGCTCAAGGAAGCAGCATTCAACAGATCAAACTGATAAGACATCTTTAGAGTTTTGAAGAGCAAGGGTGTTAATTTGAGGACAGAGGTACGCCTCACACAAGCCATGGCATTTTCAATGGCCTCATATGCATGTGACAGCTGAACACTGAATAAGGAAGACTGAACAAGAATGGATGCATTTGAATTGTGGTGCTGGAGAAGAATATTGAAAGTACTATGGCCTGCTAAGAGGACAAACTGATCTGTATTGGAAGAAGTAAGGTCAGAGTGCTCCCTAGAGCCAAGGATGGCAAGACTTTGTGGTACATACTTTGGATATATTTTCAGGAGAGACCAGTCCCTGGAGAAAAACATCAGGCTTGGAAAAGAGGAGAGGCAGCAAAAAAAGAGGAAGCTCCCCAAGGAGATGGGGTTATACTGTGGCTGCAACAATGGGATCCGGCACAGGAACAGTTGTGAGGATGGCAACAGTTGTGCATTATGCAAAGGGTCAGAACAGATCCAAGGGCACCTAATAACAGAATGGACAGAGATGATAAAGCTCAAAATCAACCATCAGAGCAAGGCCAGGGGCTGACTGTGGAGCACACCATCCATTATTTATGAGAAAGTTCAAGTTGAAGCTGAAGAGCATTAAAATACAGCATTGAGTATATTCCACCTGAATTCAGAGGTCATGAAATAGATTTGTTACACAGAACAATGACTGAAGAAAAGATATGTTTTGTGATGACATAAAAGACACCATACATGAAGAAAAAAGCCATTAAAGTGGATTTGGGGCTTGCACTTAATTCTAGCCCCAATCTAAGAACAATTAGCTCTTATGATATGACTCTGCTTGATGCTTGGCCTCATGAAGAGATACTGAAGATTATATGGGTGTTAATGCAAAGTGTGGTGGATCACGTTTGTGGTCTTTAAAGTCTTATTTTCAAATAAGCAGCCATCCAAGTGCCATCAAATAAGCAGCTAAGTCCACATGGAAGTAGCACACCAGCCTGTGTGAATCCAGAGGTTGTAAATAATACAACCCAAACCTAAAGGAGGGAATGGTATCAGAGCTTAAATTGCAAACATTTGGTTTGCAGAAGGCTATGGATGACAGTGTAAATCCCAAAATCCATTTGCAGGGTTCACACATGGATTAAGCTTCCAGTGAATCCCCTCCAGTTATATAGAGGGATGTCAATAGTCTTGTGAACCAGAAAGAGAGGATTTTAAAGTCGATTATGTCAGCTGTAGTGAGGTCAAAATATCGTTTGATATCCTTTTTGACCCATTTTAATCTGTTTCAGTTGAAAAAAAAATGAAGGGGAAAATGCACATGGTGAATACCTCTGACCAGCCTGTCTAATACACAGACAGCATTGGAAGTGGATTGTTGCAGTTGCAGTTAGGTTAAAATTTAACACCCTGTCATTTGATCTCCCATACGACCCATTTACATTTGTTCTATTTTTTTTAATAGTTTCTGCTTTCTTTTCTGTTGAGATTATTATCTGTTTTACTTTGTTGTAATTGTTAGTTATTTGTTTTTAAATGTTTTTCTGTATGTGAAATCCAGGATAGGTAAACCTATAGTAACTGGATTAATTTTGTTCCTTGGGGTATGGCAGAGAGGTTGGGTGGAAATGGGGAGTTAATAATGATGAGCACAAGAATGAAGAAAATGTTCTAAAATTGATTGTGGTGGTGGGTGTACAGCTTTTCTTGATGTGACTGAACTATTGAATTATGTAATATGTGAATTATAGGCCATTAAACTGTTGGGG